ACCCCGAAATCGAAGAGATTTTACTCTCGTGCATATGAGCCCAACCTGCACCCTCAAACTATTAATGGAAAAGGGACATCTTAAGCCTCTCGATCCTCGTCCACTTCCGGACCCATTGCCACCCAAACATGAGCCTACCCATTATTGCATCTTCCACCAACAATATAGCCATCCCATGGACCTGTGCTACCGTTTACGTCATGAGATCTAGGATCTCATTGACAACAAAGTCATCGCCCCACCTTCCAAACCAAACATAACAACCAATCCACTTGCTGCATATAACCAAATTCCACTACCCAGAAACATTAACCACATCTATACGCTACCACCCACCTTCAACCCTAGCACATACATTACCTCATCCCACCTACCAAAACCGGAGGTGGTTATTCTAGAAAGCGCAGACATGTGCATAATGGATCTAACACCCATGGCAGTAGAAACAGAGAAAGAAAAGAATGTATTGAAGACTGGGTTGTTTGATACCCATGTCATAGAGAAGGGGATCTCACTCGTAGAGGAGTACGATCCCAGTTAATACATTGTGGTCGTTGATCAGCCAAAGCTAGTAATCATCTTGCCGGACTTTCTCAGCATTAATGCTATTAGGGAGAACCAGCTAGGGTAAAATCATAACAATTGGCCTGAACAAAGCCTAAATGACTTCGCTGACTTAAAAGAGGATTTGGCTGATCTGGAAGAGGATTTGGTCATTGATTTACAGGATTTGTATTTCTTCGAAGATGAGGATACAAGCAGTGGACCTGAGCTAGCCAGAAACATGCAACGAATGGTTGAGTGAGGATGAGTCAGATGTGGAGGAATTGATAGGAGAGACTAGGAAGGAAGAGGAAATTGCTGCCAGTGGCAGGGCTAAGGCTGCACCTCTGACTGAGAAAGAACATGCACTGGAACAATTCTAAAGGGAAAGGATAGAAGAGATCTAGACGAAGATAGCTCTGGAGCTAGAAAAAGGAAAAGATAAAGAAGATCTCGAGGCAACGGCGTGTGATGTCCAAACTACCAAAAGGGTCAAATGGGAGCCTACCGACCGGAAAATATTGGGATTTAGAAACCAAGACTGTGGTGGAGGAAGAATGATATGATGATGGGGCGCGTGATGTTAACATGCTCCCGATAGAACCTGATGCTAGCTCAGCCATGATTACAGGAGAGTGGTCGGAAGATAACGACCTAAGTCATGCATACATTGACGAAGGGTGGAAAGATGATACCCTGGATGACACCTGGTATATTGACGAGATCAATCATATAACCCAAAGTGGTCGGTATTTCAAACCAGCAGCATTAGATCAGCCGGAGTCTTCTAACAAAGAGTTTGAGAGATAAAAAGAGAAAGACGTTGAGGAAAACCTAGTCTTCAAACAGCTCAAGAACATTCAGGCTGACATATCAATGTGGGCGCTAATAATGGCATCCCAAGAGCATAGGCAAGCACTATTAGAGGTAATGAACTGGACCAAATTGCTTATCGACACAATTACTGACCAATTGGTATCATTGGTTACATCTGGGGACGTTATGCCAGTGATATCTTTTATAGACAAGGAGTTACCAACTGAGGGTGCAAACCACAACCGACCCTTATATGTAACCCTAGAAAGTCGAAAAAAGTGGATTCCGGTGGTGCTAGTAGATACTTGGTTAGCGATCAATGTATGTCTTGTGAGGACTGCCTATGCCATCGGTTTGAGGCCGGTTGACTTTACACCTACGACTCAAGCCATCTGGGCTTATAACAATACAAGCCGGGATGTTATGAGAACGTTCAAGAGGCATATCCTAATCGGCCCGTTTGAGCATAAGGTGGAATTCTATGTCGTGGACATTCTGGCCACTTTTAATCTACTACTGGGAAGGCCTTGACTACATTAGATGAGGGTTGTATCATCAGTAGTCCATCAATTAGTAAAGTATCCCTTCAAAGGCGGGATTGCCACTGTGTACGGTAATTTTGAGATCCATCCCCCCCAGGGAACCACTGCGCCATTATTGGAAATTATATATGGGGAAGGACGTGTTCCTTTCTGGTTTCTCTCTGGCAGAAGCCTGGCTATACCAATCCATTATGGCTGAGGGTAATGGGAACTACGTGAGTGCGCAATCCATCTACATGATGAACAAACATGGACATATGCCTAGATCAAGATTGGACGGAAGTTACAGGCATGGAGGTACTATTGCTAAGGAGATGAGTCACAACCCCCACGCTTTTGGGCTGGGATACAAACCTACCGCTGCAGATTGGCAAAAAAAGGGAGACGAGTTGGGAGGACGGCTGAAAGGAAAGAAGACTGGGAGGCAGTACGAATTAGTCTACAAACCAATACAGGGAACCTTGAATGGACGTTTTGTCCGCCAAGGGGATGACTTCCCCTTTTGTGGATTCCCAGAGCCCTAGTTTGACAAGGAAACAAAAACAAGGTATCTGGGGTTCGAGATCTTCTTCGGACATCAGTTACCAGAAGAGGAGGATGGACAAGTAGACCAAAGCCCTAGCATAGATCAAGGTGGGACTGCAAGCCTGGACATTGAAGAGAAAGAACTGCTGAGAAAAGCACTGGCTAACCTACTGGTAAGTTCTACTGTTGGAGCTGAGACCACCAACTTGGGGGATAGTTTTACTATCTCAATGATTAGGGATAACATAGCAACGGATTTCTCCAATCTTATCATGGATACGTCTGAGGCTCCACACCTGGTTTGGAAGTTTGAGCAAGGCATCATCAACAGTTGTGGATCAGATAGTGAGTCTGGATCTCATTCCACTGAGTCTTTGTAGTCAGAGTCAGATTCGAGTTCCTCCGAGTCTAGTACTTCTGGGAGTGGTAACCCAGATACTAAAGTCCTGTCCAGGTCGTCTTTTAGCTTTTCTTTGAAGTCCACTGTAACCGAAGATCCAGACTTTCTGAATGGAAATGTTGAGAACTTTGCCTATTTTTCTGTGCCTTTGGTTTGTTGTACTAATCTTGATTTTCAAAATTTTGACTTAAACGAAGAGAAAGAAATTCCTTAGGTTTTGAAAATTTTGGTTAATCATGAGGAGGAGAGGCGTGTTAAGCCCTGTATAGATGAAATCGTATCAATTAACGTAGGTATTGAGGAAGATCCTCGCCTAGTCCAGATTGGGTCCGTGTTGTCTTTGGAGGAACGCGAGCGTTTAATTGCTTTATTAAAAGATTTCAAAGATGTTTTCACGTGATCCTATGAAGACATGCTCGGAATCGATCCTGAGATTATACAACACCGGATCCCTCTTGACCTTGAGGCCCGACCAATTAAGCAAATGCTGCACAGATTCTACCCAGATTGGGCTTTGAAGATCAAGGAAGAAGTTACCAAACAGATCGAGGCAAGTTTCTTGCTTGTATCTGAGTATTCCACATGGTTGGCCAACATTGTTCCAATTCCAATGAAGGATGGCAGAATCAGGGTATGCGTCGACTTCAGGGATCTAGATAAGGCTAGTCTAAAGGATGATTTTCCACTGTCGCATATTGACGAGTTTGTAGACTTCACCACCGGCCATGCCCTGTTGTCATTCATGCATGGGTTTTTTGAGTATAACCAGATTCTGATAGCACCCGAGGATAAGGAGAAGAGCGCTTCACTCCGTGGGGCACCTACTACTATCGAGTCATGCCGTTTAGATTGAAGATTGTTGGAGCCACTTATCAAAGGGCTATAACCATCATTTTGCATGATATGATCCACAATGAGGTTGAGGTGTATATGGACAATATGATTGTCAAGTCCAAAGATCGAGAGTGCCACTACACCACCTTGGAGAAACTCTTTCAATGGATCGGAGAGTATTGATTGAGGTTGAACCCGAAAAAATACACCTTTGGTGTAACAACAAGAAAAATATTGGGATTCCTGATCACATAGAGAGGAATTGAGGTAGATCCTTTCAAAATGAAGGCTTTCTTAGAAATGTCACCACCAAGGACTGAAAAGGAGGTGCGCGGCTTTTTGGGTAAAGTACAATTCATAAGACGGTTAATTTGAAAATTAACCTTGACTTGTGAACCACTGTTTGGTCTCCCGAAGAAAGGAAAAAAATTCCAATGGGACGATCGCTGTCAGTTTACTTTTGAACAGGTCAAGCAGTACTTGCATAATCCGCCTGTGTTATCACCGCCAGAACTAGGAAAATCGGTTATTTGGTACTTATCGGTGAAGAATTCAACCATGGGGTGTATGTTAGCTCATTAGTCGAAGGCCAAGGTGGAGAAAGTCGTTTATTACTTGAGCAAGAAAATGCTAGATTACGAGACCCGTTACACTTCCCTTGAGAAAGCTTGCCTAGCCTTGGTATGGGCTACCCGAAAGTTGAGACACTACCTGTTAACTCACTCAGTAATTCTGGTTTCGAGATTAGATCCGATCAAATATCTCTTTGAGAAACCAGCGCTTACGGGTAGGCTAGCCTGTTGCACTACAACAAAATTGACTTTTTACGGCACCACATCACCGACATACAATGAATGCAAGCTGTAATTTCTCATTTTTACGACTTGCTTTTTTTGCATGTCGTAAATAATATATTAACCACGGTGCATCTATTGCGCAGGCCGTTAATGTTAAAAATGATAATTTTTTTACGACTTACAATATTAGTCATAAATAATAAAACCTTTTACGACATACATGTAGCATGCCATTAATACATCAGTTATATACGATATGCGTATGCCAGCCGTTAAAAATAAAGGCTAGTTTGGCATGTACTAAATAAGTCAAAAAGTCAAAAAGTCACTATCTTATTTAAGTCACATCATCTTATTTAAATCACATCACCTCTCTAACACATCACATCAAACCCAACCCAAACCCAACCCAAACCCACCAATAAATCAAAAAGTACACTTTTTTTAGGACATTCCAAACCAACCCTAAGTCACCTTTACACTTATCATATGTGTCGTGAATAGTATGCGCAAAAAATTTCAGGCGCCAAAACCCAATACGCCACTAATCAAAAATAAAAAATAAAAAAAAATAACACTTGATCGGATACACGTGAAGGGGAAGGGTTCTTCAAACACTTGGTCTTCAATAGATTGAATCTGTGGAGATCGAGACGCATGGCAGTCGATTGATGCAGTCCGCTTCCTTCCTCAACAAAGCAATCACGCTTTCCATTGAATCAATTTGTAATCTGCTTCGACTTGGACTTGGCTTCAATTTCTGATTCCATCAGTTCAATTGAATCAATTTATAAGGCACTCTCTCTTCCTTCTTCCTAAAACCCTTGTTTCCTCTCTCTCTCTCTCGGTATATATATATATATATATATATCCCCGTCCTCCCTTCTCTTCTCTGTTTTTCTTTTCTCTTCTCTCTATACATACATACATACACCTATATCTATCTACATTTTTGGGGTTTTTGCTCTCTGCCATTTTCACTTTTTTTTTTTGGTTTTGATTTTGATTTTGATTTTTTTGTGGATTGTTGTTTATTGAGTATGATGTGTATTTCGGTATCTATATTTTTGAGGCATTACAGTATGGGCATGTTTGTTTGGGCGGACTGGATTAGCATTCCCATGACTAATAGTCCTACGATTACGAATCCATTGGATTATATATCCTATCTTAACTAATAGTCAAGTTTAAAATAATTAGTCCGTACTTTAATTGTTTAACCAAATATCGGATTAATAATTTTATTGGACTATTAGTCCAATCCCAAGCTCATGTCCACCCAAACAAAACAAACATGGCCTATGAGTATTGGATATTCCATTGGCTTCCATGTTTATAAATTCAATCAAAATAAAGGATGAATGTGGATTTAAGATAATATTAACCAGATCCATAGAAATTGGGGCATTATAGTGGTTACATAAAACAGAAATTGTTCACAGCACTTCGTTTCTTCCAAACGTTCTGTTTTTCTGCGTTTTGATTCCTCGCTTACTAATTTCTCAACAGGCTGCCCCTCATTTTCATCAGCAGCCAATCTTTTCCTTTTTTTGGAGCTCTTTTCTGGAAAGGTGAATGCTTTGATTACAGTTATCAATTGTCTCTTGTAATATCTATGGAGTTGTTACTATAAGTTTCATAGTGGGACACAACATTATCAGCTTGTAGCTGTTGCTGTGGATTCTCACAATTCAAGATTTGTTATCTAAAATTCACTAGAAAAACTATCTATCAGTTACTTGTTTTGGAATATGTGCGTGGCAATTTGCATTTCTTTATAAAAATTTTCTTTATAAAAACACAATATTTCTTTATAAAATTTTTCTGTAATTTCAAGAGGTGGAGATAAATATAAGTTCACAATTTGCATTGAGCCTCATAGTAGAAGCATGGTGATTAAGGCATGTGTCTATTATCAAGGGACTACAAAAAGATGGGTGCGGCAGGAGTGAGCCTTAATTAAGAGAATGAAGGGTTGTCCTACAATCATGGGTTGTTGAGATTGAAAAGATTTCTCAATTGATATTTTGCCTTGGTTGAAAGTTTTGCAGTGATATTTCTTTGGCTAAAAGACTGTCATTTTGGCCAAATTGCAGTGTGTACGCCTGCCAACAATTTAGCTTAAGTTGACGAACTTAGAGTGATAGTCTATAAAGCACTGACACTCCAAAACAGGCGTTGTAGTAGTGTCAGACATGGCGGGAACATGCATGGGACACACCAACTAGTTCCCCCCATTTGGTGCTTTTGATGGATGTTGGACGTTCAATGTTTTTTTTTTAGCTTTTGCTTCGATTTAAATAATTAATAGATCATACAAAAAAAGAAAAAAAAGAAAGAAAGAAAGACATAAACGATAAGAGTTAACTGAAGAGTGAGTTTTTAATTTTTTATATATGAAATTAGTGTTTGTTTTTGTTAAGTTTGACTATTAGTGGATGTGATATTAATCGACATAGCAAATAAAAAAAATATGTATACATAAAAAATTTGTTGCCTTGTCCCAGTTGTGTCTGTGCCCTTATTTTTTTAGATCATCATGTCCTGTGTCCATGTCTGTATGACTGTGTCTGTGTCCATGTTTCATAGGTGATAGTCCTCCTATGCCATTGAGAGGTGCTTAGAATTTAAAGGCTTTAAGATCGGGAATAGTGTGAGACTTGAGTAAAAGTGGGACTACAATTGCATGAATACTGAAATTTATTTCCATGAGATCTGGGGGTGGTTGATCAAAGTCTATGGAAAGTATATTTATCCCTAGAGTGTATTTTTTGTTAACTGGAAAAAGTTCCTTTTGAGTGTTTATTATTGTAATAGTGAAGGGATACAAGAGGACAATGAAAATGATGGTTAGTTAAGAATCGAATCAATGAGGATGTCTGCAAAGTGAGCTATAGTTGAAATGAGATGTCATGATGGATAATTGGCAATGTAAAAAGAGAGAGAATTTTTGCTGAATGCATAAATGAGGAGGAAGAGGTAGCATTAATTAATGATGGGGGTGGGCCGAGAATTTTACTCCCAGTGTGATATGTGTTACATATTTTATTTCTTGTGTATGAACCAATGCTTATAATATTATGTTGTAAGAGTAATGCTTGAAATTCTTAAATGAATAGAATGAATTTAAGAGTGGTGATATTTAAAGTTGTAAGAGTAATGCTTGAATTTAAGAGTGGTGATATTTAAAGTTGTAAGAATGAATAGAATGAATTTAATGCTTGAAATTATGTTGTAAGAGTAATGCTTGAAATTCATTTGACTATAAATGAATTTAATCACTTAAAAAAAATATTTAAAGTTACTCAATATAATTACTTGTTGGAATGGTGATATTTATTTTTCCAATTTTCTTAGTATTATTTATGGTATGCTTCATGAATTATACTTGAGGTATAATTCCTTATTGGCATAAAGAAAACAAATTTGATAGAATATACCCTGAATTTAAGAAGGGTATGAAAGAATTGAAAGAGAAGAAAAAAAAGAAAAAAAGAAAAAAAGAAAAGAAAAGGAAAAGACAGACGCCTAGAGAACAATGTGAAGAGAGAAAAAAATACGGAGAAAATATTAGGCATGTGACCATGTCAAACGGTATCCACTTTTTAATGATGTTATACTTATCACATTTTTTTTTTATCATATTTTGTTTATGGTATGATTTGATATACTTATGATGGTTGAATATTAATTTTATAAATGATTATATGACACATCAAATGATAAATAAAACATGCGATCATCGTAACATTATTGGCCACTTTTTGACCACATGCTTTGCAAATTGTAAAATATTATTAGGATGTTCAGGAGTTCTAGGCTAACCTACCGCCCATTATATATCATACACATGTAATGAAAGTTTTTGAAAGGTTAGGGTGTTCAAATAAATACCCTCAGCAGTGCATGGCACTGCCCTTGATCCTTCATAAGGATCCAGGTAAAGAGATTTTTCTGCACTCATGGGCTTTGACCCCCTTTCGCCCATATCTACATGAGTTTTCCCTTGATTGACGACCAAACAAGGCACATTATCTGGTTTTTTTGTGTGACAATGATCTATGATTGCACCATTGAGAAATATTTTCTTTAAGGTATTAGGTGAGAAAAGGACGGTCCCAAAGGTTGTGGGTTTAGGCAGGGATACTTGATGGCCGTTGATTTACTTTAGATTTTGTGATAGCAAAATGCATTAAATTCTAGATACCCAGAATTTGCTGTTTTATTCTGCTTTATTGGATTAATTGAGTTGGAGGCATTTCATGCTTGCTTATTAAACTAAGCACACACATTAATGAGACTGTAAGTTTGGCCCCTTGTTAGTTGGAACTCCTGTGGACTTGGTGGACTGTGTCTCTTGACAAACACGTTAGTAATTTTCTTTATACACATATAGGCTGTTTGAAAATTTTCCATTGTTTAATATTCTTTTAGGGGCCTTAGGCTTATCTGGCGTTATCTTCAACTCTTTACTAAATCTTATCTTACAAAGATATTTATTTATATAAGTTTGAATGTCTTCATTTTTTTTCTCTTAATTGCATGATATCATAATAATAGTGCTATGTAGTATTCTGTTAAGCAGTACCTTGATTTTATCACCCTTTGATATTAAATAATAGAATGAGATTGTTTTAGATTTGTGAACACTACAATAGTAAGAGAACTATTCTTGAAATGGTTAGTGATTTGAAGTTTGCCAATGCTAATTATTCTTGATTTTTTATTTTTGAAATATGTAGGTAGTAATCAATCCATTGACAATAATATGACAGGTATAATACATGGCATTGCTTATATGATATCTACTATGGACAGTTTCTTTGGACCAATGGGGCCTGCCTTGCTTAAGTAGTTGGTTATTTTAATAAAACTGGGGAAACATTCTTTAGTGGTGTACGCTATGAATTTGAGAGATGGAGTAGGGTGTGAGAATGCTTATTTATCATGTTTTTTCTTCACACCAAAATTTAGTCTGTACGACAAACTTTCCGCTTTAAATTCTGAACTATTACTCGCATATTATGTTCACACGTTTCTGATTTTATCACATGGTTCATTTGTGTATGATATATATATGTCTGTGATTGTTATGTTTGTGAACGCTGATTTTAATGGAGCTGTGCTGAACTTTTATTGATTATATGTTTGCAGGTAGAGGAAGAAATGCTGATGCGCAAGTTCTATGAACTCATGGCTGCCCAAGGTCTAACCAAAAAGGTATGTTCACTACAAGAAATTTCACTTTTGGCGACAAACAACATGAAGGGAAAGCAGCTTAACAGGTTGTATTTCATTAAAGAATGGCATATAGTTACACTATATCTAAGCACATTACAATCTCTGTGCAGTTGTGAATTTGAGATCAAATTTTTACAATAAGTTTGATATCCTTTACCTATACATATTGAAAGAAATATTGAGAGAGTGATTGAAAGAGCTAATACACTCTGTGATTCAATTGTGTATTAAACATGAAGAGAAGGCTCCATTATATAGGAGAGCTAATACAACATCATTATGATACTACATTATGAAAGAAAACATATAAAAATAAAAAGTAGCCGAAAGTTGAAGGCACTACCTAAAGCACTACAATAAATCATCTGATGGAAAAGCACTAACTATTAAATATATATTAATGATATAAGCATGCAGCTGGTATTATTACATTAACAAATAGCTTGCTTGATTTCCAATACTCCCCCTCAAGTTACGTTGTAGATATTAATCATTCCCAATTTTTCCGTCAGATCTTCGAAGTGAACGCGAGCAAGAGCTTTTGTGAGAATGTCAACCTTTTGATAGTTTGTTGGAGTGTAGCTGACTTGAAAAACTCCTTCTTCAATCTTTTCCTTGATAAAGTGTCGATCTATCTCCACGACAGATGGTCAAAAGAAATAGTCTTTTATTTAAATAATGATGGTCAAAAGAAACCTTAAGTAGATATAGATAGATATTAGTCAAAGATTTTCCTTGTGTTCATAGAATCATTATAAACAAATTTTCTCCTCTTCTAGGTACAGAAAACTTTATAGGGCAATCTCATGAAGACAAAGAACCAGATGCACAAGTCTCCAACAATTTGAAAAGCTTGCAAAAGGAAAAGGGGTGGAGGACGGGTAAGAAACTTTATATGCTTGTCAAGGGTTCAAACAAAACAAGTTAAACTAATTCTTTTATTTTTGTTATGCTTGATCATCTTTCAGAAAAGAGAACTGAGCTATAAATTGGTATGCTCCCATTCAAATGCGTGGCATATGAAATTCCTAAGAAATAAAGACTAATAAGCATTTACAGAGCTTCACAGTTGCTCCACTTCAACATATGGGTCTATGTTGTTAAAGAACTAGTGTACAAGGTCAAAGTTTTATGCTCTGAAATTCAACTTTCTGATGTTAAATTGAATTTGAGATCATATTAGACACCTCTAATGAATTTATGGATTTGATCCATCAAATGAATACATGTTATTATGTCATGAGGCTCAAAACTGTGATCCCTATAATGAAAATTGCACTGTTGAAATTAAACAAATAGTGTCCGGACAAACTTTATTCTCACTCTATGTTAAAATGTGGTTAACAAATTGCATGTTGAAGTGTGACTGTCTACATGTGTATAGACTTGTCTGCTTCTCTTGTCTCTCTCCATCTATTATCTATAACTCATATTACAGCTTCCTTCTGCGTATTTGGTTCAGTGAGGTTGTCCAAGATTGGTGAATCTCCTGCTTATGCGTGTGAAGGCCTCTCTTTTTTTCTACACAGAAGATGTAATGAGAAAGCAGAATTGGTTCAAAGAAGATAAAGTCAAAGCATTATAATAAGGTAGACACTATGTGATCCCAGAATTGTCCAATGTCCATGTTGAATTTTTCACTTCAACTCAAAAGATTAGAGCCACCAAAATTCATGATGACTAATTTGTGAGTTTTTTTGGGTTATTTATATGGGAAAAGATTAAGAGCTCACTTACTTTCAACTTGTGAAAATCCACTATTTCTTATTTTTACAGCCCTGGGTGAACAAATTTGTCTTCCTATAAAATTTAACTATTTTTTACTTTGGTGTTTCCCATCTTAGATATAAGGATATTTCACAAAGTTTGTAAAATAAAAAAATTGATTAATACTTGTAGGAGCCAAGCAAAGGGGCAAATGGATACTCATATGGAGAAACCCAGGTATACTTGCACATTTCTCATGCTTGTGCTTTTGCTTGCTTGCTTTTCTACTCAAGTTTGTCATTTTGCATATGGATTACATTAAAGGTTGGTTTGGCATAAACCAAATAATACAAAAAGTCAAAAAGTCACTACACATCAAACCCAATCCAAATCCAACCCAACCCATATAAGCCAATAAATCAAAAAGTGCACTTTTTTAGAACATCCCAAACCAACCCTAAGATTCTAAATTTAAGTAAACAAATGCTTATTTCCATTGTATTACAATTTTTTTAGGGTGAGGATAACGGTAGAGGTGAACATAGGGTGCATGAAGGTGGTAAACGTAGGATGCACTCACAACAAAATATTTTGGTAAATTTTGTATGGCATTATTAATTTACTCATTTGTTTTTTCCTCGTGCTTCTGCTTTTGTTTGCTTACTTGCTTTTCTACTCAAGAGCTTTTGTCAAACTTTCATATACATCCCACATCGTCTACAAAATTTGGAAAAACAAATATAACTTGATATTGTATTACATTTTTTTTAGGGTGACGAAAACAATGAAGATATTTGGGTAAATTTTATGTGGCATTAATAATAACTTGAATTTTGTCTTCAATTCATTAGCTTATCTTATGTATTGCTTTCATGATAGTTGCATGATGCAAATGAAACTGGAAATGGTGGATCCTTGGACAATGCCAAATGCAAATTATTGAATTGGGATGGAACAAAGGTGGTGGTTGCGGAAGGCACAATCGCATCAACAGATTCTAAAGCATTAGTACATCACGTGCCTCTTGGCCCTGGGTGTTGGAAAGTATGGGTTAACCATATCATAGTCAATGCGCTATTGTTTCGTCCTAATCATGAGATGTTTGTGCTTGAAGATGCAATTGGAAACACAGTTGCTTGGCCAACCCGTTTCATTAGCTTTGACTTTGAGTAGAAATCCTAACATCTATGGATAGTTTTTGAGGACTTTGATGAATAGATTTCTATAATCTGTGAATAGTTTTGGATGGTTATAACTTTTTGGACAATTTAGAACTTAAGGATAGTCCTTTTGGATGTTTTTGAACTTGCAGTTAGGTTTTGGAT